ACTGTGAACCACAACATTTGATAATGGTTTTGAGAGCCTTTTAAAAGATCTGTGCAGCTTAAACAAGGATCCATTTGCATAAATTAATGAAAGTGAAATGACCACATAAGGTTACCACAATATACTCTTTTGACAACTCCATCTCCCAAAGGCGTTCATGGGAGAACCAGCAGCCCCCCCCCCCCCCCCCCCGCCCCTATTCTAACTAAGAAGGCAAAAATTACTAATGGTCTTATTTTTCTATTACAAGATATTACAAATCCGGCAGACGTTTTCATCCCCAATCCCACAAATGTCATATTTTTTGGAGAAAAATCAGGACAATAATCATTTTCACTGCCCTGAAAGCCTAGTGAGAGAATAAACCAACTGCCAGCTGCTCCTTATTTCAGAATCCATTTTTCGCACTAAATAATCAATCGTAATGAAAGCCAAGGAAAACCTTATTTTTTACTGATTGGGAATAGAGGGTAGTAACTGACGGTGCTTCAAGCACAACATCCTAGTGACGAGTGAACCATTTCCACAGTTTGAGAGCTAAATATTATGACAGAGCATAATTGCCACAAACCAACATGACTTTGAATGACTGAGAGTGGGGGCAATAAATGTCAAGTTTTTCATTGTCAAAATTAGCCTACTGACAGGGTGAACCATTTTCAGAATGTTCGCACTAAATAGCCAATCTTAATGTAAGAGCAATGCCCCAAAACCCAACAAATTTTTGACTGATCGGGACTAGGAGGAGAGTACTAATTAGCATGTCGAGCCTTGTCGACCCTCTTCATCCGGCAAAGGAGACGAAGAGGAAGTTACCTCAGATCTTCTTTCGATTCGTCAAGCTTCTTTTTCAATCCTCCACACTTCTTCAGGGTGAAATTTCACCACCAGAGATCTCCTCAATCTCCTCAATTAAGCACGATTATTACCAAAAAGGTAATAGGTTTTCATTATCATCAGGTGCAGGACGAAGGCAAGAGCAGACCTTGCTAAAAATGAATAGTTATCTGTCATTGCTACATAGGTTCCTTAGCATAGGGCATGTCTCTGCCTAGCATATTGCAAATAATGACACTTATAAACCCCCCCCCCCCCCCCACTCCCATATCATCAAATGGTGCAATTTGAGTGAATGATTTGATCGACCCTCAAATCACAATACGTCCGCTACCCACAAGAAGGCCGTACATGTATAAGAGCTGTACTGCCTAGAAGCAGTAACAGCTTTCTTGCGGGCAGCCAGAAATTTTGGATTGTTGTGGATAGCTGTATCTGAAGTGAAAACGTCTTCAATGCATCTAAATATGGTGTGATTTTTAATGTAAGCATGGTAGGCATATATCAGTTTCCATCATCCACCTAGAGCAAGAAGGACATTCAACCCATTGCCTAGTCGAATCGAGTCAGACCTGGGACCCGTTTCACAAAGTCTTTTTTCAATGACAAATCACAAAAATCAGTGACAAATCACAAACATCAGTGACAAATCTGTTGACAACCAATCAGAAGCAAGGATTTGAGTAGCTTTTAACAAGAACTGTCATTTGTCATTGATGACAAGTTTTGTGAAACGCCCCCTGTACTACCCCTATGGAATGACAGGAGTCAGTAGTCCATGGGTTAACACAGATTGAATGCCCTTCTGGCTCTCAATCGACCAAAGCTATTTATTTATTATTTATTCATGTTTTCTTTATAAAAAGCAGGGTAGTCCCATTCAAGCCGCAAGGCCTGCTTTACACAAACAAATTACATTTCAAATATATTACAATACACATACAAATATACAAAATATACAATAATTAAAAACAACATAATATATAACTATAAAACATTTTATACAAATAGGAGATTACATGAAAATGGAAGAGGAGAGAGAGAGTAAACGAAAGAGAGAGAGAGAGAGAGAGAGAGAGAGAGAGAGAAGAGAGAGAGGGAGAGAGAGAGAGAGGGTGGTAGCAATACTTCATGTGAGCGATCGCAAAATCAACTCACTTGAATTGAATTTCACGGACATTTCGTTTAAAAATGGGTAGTGAGGCGGAACATTTGGTCAGTATGGGTAGTGAAGCTAGTGAAGCTAGTGAAGCTACACTTCACACATACTAATACAAAGGTGAACTTTCGGTTTGCTCATTCAACACTTTCATGTTAGACTTGAAGCACATTCTTCTTTTCAGTAGACGGTGTTATATGGACCTCATCTGTCAATAGTGGTTTTAGTTTACATGCTGAACATGCAGCTGTACATACAACCATTCCCATACAGTGGGACTACATGCCCAGATCGAGGTTTCCCAGGTTTTTCCCCTTTAAACTGGGTTACTGCGGCCCTGGGCTTGGCTGTGCAGCGCTTTATGTAGTCTTGCATTCAAATACAGACACAAAGTAGAAGAGCATGGAGACAATTATGTAATAGTTGGGCTATATATGAATTGAACGTTATTATTATTATTACCAGAACTGTCACAAAGTCATAGTATTGCAATTAATGTTAAAATTTACAAATAAATTAGATACCTGCCAGCCACCCCCCCCCCCTTCACATAAAAGGGGGGGGGGGGGGGGGAGGTACACCATAAATAGCCCTATTGGATATTGGTATATTATTTTTTCCTTGTGTGTTGTTAGCAGCATAAAAGTCATTAACTCTGTAATGCTTTGGATAGAAACAATGGACTGCCACATTGTTTGGAGTATATATGAAGTGCATACACTAGTATAAGTGTGACAAACATCTACTATGGCAGTCCACTGAGTCCAGACTTTGTTACATATTAGTCCACTAAAGCCAGTAAAAAGTTACAAAATTATAACCTCAAACATTTTAATACCAATGGGGGCCATACATGCACAGACATATTTGAAGCATTCTTCATCGACACAAATGCATAGTGCTTAGCAATAGACTGTCAATAATCATAAAAGATTGAAAATAACTCACACAGAATTAACAAATTGTCCGTCTCCACCTACAGCAAGATATCTCCTTGTGAATATTTAACGAGAAAATCATAGCCGAGGGATAAGGAAAGAAAAAACAAAGTTGGGAATCATCTTGAATTCCACAGCTGCAATTTTTATCCTGAAATATTCGCACACTTTCCCGATGACTCATAGAGCAATTAATATTTACAATGCCCTTACAGAGTTCTGGAAATTCTGGCCAAGCACGGAGTGTATGCAAATGTTGACACGATTTGCCATTTCCAGAAGGTGCAGATAAGGACACTAGCATTATTGGTTCAATCGATTTGAATCTAAATTTATATTACAGGGCAAAGTTCTCAGACTGTTGTTCCATGTTTAACATATTTTTTTTCATCATGCAATATTCACAATGATAAAATTATTAGATTTGGATAGGACCATAATTAGTCTACAAACACTTGTGAAAATTCTCAGGCAAATATCAAATAGAAAATAGGAAGACATTTTGAATTCTTTCTTGTAAGTTGTAGCACTTCACAGACTTAATGCACACTGATTTTTCTAGAATAACAAGTGGGCATTTCCATGTTAAGTGGGTACTTCTGTGATGTAAATATGGTCAAAATTGTTTTCACCCCTAGAGCAATCAAATTTCTCCCTTTGCTTGTCCAATATCTATATTCTATATATTTATGAGGGAAAAGATAAGTGTGATTTCATGTTAACTTTGCAGAGGTCGTAAAGTAGGACATGTATTGGGGGGAACGTATGTAACATTGGACAGAAATTTGTAACTTAAATTACCTCTGATTTATTATTTGCTCAATATATAAATGCAATGTTCATTCATGTGAGTTAAGTATCAATAAAACATCAATTTAACAATCATCTCAGAATTTGCTTCTTTTTTAAAAAAATTTTATAGCTTTTTTTGTGAATCAGAAAAACAAATATTTAAGGAATGTTTGCAATGTATCATGTATTATTGAATGAATAAATCTTTCACACATGTTTTAATGGTGCGTACTCTATTAATTTGGTGTCACTGTGTACTGGATGTTGATGCTATGTTCATATATTCCAGGATAAAATAAAATCTAGAAGTTATAATTGTTGATGCATGTTGGAACCAATTAATAAGAATAGGGAACGTATGTAACGGTTGGACAGAACAGGCATCTAAACGTTTGTTTGAATTCTGTTTTGGGACACATATTTCATAATCAATATATTCATAAGCGTTGCATAGGTTAAAATGTTTCATTGTATTGATCATTTTAAATTGTGGAGAATAAGTGAAATGTGAATGGTCTTTAATTATTAAGTATAATGAAATCAATGAATTTGCCAACTGATATACGGTTTGTAAATCTGTAAAATAGATTAATTGATAGTTTTGAAATCTTATCTCACCTCTCATTAATCTTTTGACCAACTGCAAAAGCAAGCAACAAACTTCAGTGTACAACTTAAATTGTCCATGGATGAACCATTTATATAAATTTATACAATTATGAACACCTGAATTGCAAATTCAAATTTAAAAATGATAAGATAGTAACTATAGTCACATGGAAAGAAGTTGGCACAATATAGAATAAAAGGCAAACACTAATCATTTCATTGAAATTGAAATTTCACAAAACCTTATATACAAATTTAAAAGTAGTCTAGGTCTTTAATAGTCAGTAGCCAAAATGTGTCTCGGACACAGAGCCCAATAATAACAGACTGTTAAACAATTGAGCATGCATTTCACTACATGTAAGCATTAGCTTGTAATCAATTCCCATCAAGACTGGGAAAGTAGTTGACACAATATAGAATAAAAGGCAAACACTATTCATTGATATTTCACAAACATCATGTCGTTAATTACAAATTGTCTATACAGGATTTGTATGCTTTTATTCTAGAGTTCTTTTATCTGCTAACTACAATGTGTATGATATTTACCTTTTATATTTCTTCATTTTTCATAAATGCTCTATTTAATTCTATTTTTGTTCAAAATTATGATCATTCATTTCAAGTAAGTTCAAATCAAATACATGTATTTATAACAATCATTTTGATGTAATTCAGATCTGAAATTCAAAAAAGATTTGACACTGCATACTCAATGGGTTATTTTGCATATTATAATGCATCAATTCAATTGAGCATTCATTAAATATTTTCAGTAAATAATTGTGTCTTTGTGCCAATTTTCCATGAATTTTATTTGTTTTCATAACACACAAGTCTATTGAGGTGATTAAAACCTTACTGAAGTACAACGTGAGAACAATAAATTAGCACGATCCAGCCATTTAATCATGTCTCCTTTTTAACATCAATACACGCAGTTCTAGGTTTTCCTCTTACACGAGAGTCAGAGAATATTGTAAGGATTTTAAAACCGATGGTTTGGGACGATATCGGGTGTGCTGGACTTTACACAAGTTCTCTGAAGAAGTTGGAATGACTCGATTCATTATTAACCAATCTATGAGTAATAAGACATTCATAAATTGTATGGAGCAAGTCATGATTCTGGGGAGAGTTCTGCAAAGGTGAAAAATTGTAATCTAGTGCTGCTGATGTCTTCCCGAAGGACAGGGTTAGGCATTTTCTTCACTATCTGTTTTCTACATTCCCGAGACACATCCTCACGTGCTGGCCATATAAATAGCCCCGGATGAGACTCCGACTTGGCCATGTACTTGATGACAAGATCTTCTCCCACAACATCTTTCACCTGAAATCAAAAGAATTAAAGATGAAAAAAATCGTGAGTTTAAAATCCATTGTGCTAATTCAAATTTAAATGTATTTGTATTTTTTTTCTTTTTTGACTCGTTCAGATTTTCTCACGTTAATAGTAATCATGCACATTTTCACTCCAAACAGATAGATATTTCCTGGTTTTGAAACATGAAGGCATTAAATGATTAACAGAAGGATTGTAAAGTCATATATTCTGGGGCTGATTAATGTTTCAAAGTGAATTAATTCATGTAATTATTCTAATTGAGATAAAACTTAATTGTGTACAACAAAACACTCTTGTAAGTTGTATGCTGTAAATTATTTAACAGTAATATCCTTCTTCAACCATAACAACAATGCGACCTTTTGAAGAAAACACAATTTATTGAAGATAACCAACATTAAGTAATCAAGCAAGCTGTTGGTAAGTATAAATTTGTTTTTTTTTGTTCTTGATTTAGGCAACTGCAGTTGCTTTTTTTGCGTGAGCTAAATTGGGTTGCGGTTGCACCTATTGAAAATGCGAGATCGGCGAGAGTTACCAGTGTTGCATACATGAAAAGCTACATATGGGACTGTAATGTAATAATATCACTACACGTTAAAATTTAGCACTAGATCTAGCAGACCACTAGCTAGACAAGAAGAGGAAAATATAATCGTACACCACTAAAGTTACACATGACTCATTTTCGGAAACATGATCTTTTACTGTATTTCAAAAAGATTTTGAATAACAAATACGTACCATTCCACGATTTTCAAAGCCTAGATCTAATCTAATGTTGAGTTGATACTCCAATGATTACGATCGGATGTCGTCTGCTGCTCACGAAACCCCGCGAAAAAACGTACGTAAATAAGACCGAATAGCATTTCTGTCCATCGTGCGTACGTGTCGTTCTAACTACCAGCAACCGTGAACGTACGCACAAACTGGACAGAAGTTATATAGAGCTACACGGCCCCGCGATTGTAGAAGTCAGCGCATGGATTGCAAGTACAATCAAACGTTGCAGTGCCTTGGTTCACTTGACTGATACGTGGATTATCCATGCGTCATATTCGCGGACGCCACGGTCCGTTTTTTTAGTTGTTACGTACGTTCGTGAGTTGGACCGAATATTGCACTCCAAATTTTGAATAGATTTTATCTCTATTTGCGTTTATTTTGACAATTTTTTTCTTGGTCTACATTTCAACCTTCATCAAAAGAGTTGCAAAGCACATAAAACTGTTGGGTGACACAACTAATAATTGTGGGAAAATTCACTCTGAACGTACGTAACACAGGTGGACAGAATCTCTCATTCAGCCAATGTAATTTTCAACTCTCTCACTCTCTCTCTTTAAAGCTCAATCGCCGTAACTATGATCAATGCCGTAATCCACCCGCATCAAAATCTCTTTTCAAAACATGAAACATCAATTTCTTTTTAGAATTTTTATTTGCATCACCCTCAAAATCACACCACTCAACATTTACTGATTGTACTTTGGAATTTTTAATAATAATCATTAAAGAAAAGAGGACAACACAACCAAATGACATTATTAGTGCATGGAATTGTCTTTTTTATTTCTTTATACCATCAACAATGAAAATAAAAACACAGAAAGCCACAGGATATTTATTTAATTTTTCTGTAAGCGCTTTATTCTTTCACACACAGAAGTACCCTATTACCGTGGAAATGCCCACGTAGGAAATCAAGCAGAAAATTATTTTGAATCTTTTCTGTCATCAAATGTACATCACAATCAATCCACATTGACTTGACTATCTGCATACATACAGTAGTACATGTATATATCTATTCTCCACAATTAGGAAATCAGAGAGAACATTGGCTGCCATTTTGAGCTCTTTCTCTCTCTCTCTCTCTCTCTCTCTCTCTCTCTCTCTCTCTCTCTCTCACTCTGTCTCTATCTCTCTATCACTCTGTCTCTCTCTCTGTCTGCTGAAACAGACATCAATCCATGTTGCAGATAACTCGACCAGATGCTTCCGTTGCTGGAGAATACTTTTCATTCATGTGCTAACGAGGTTCTCAGATGACAGGGGTTTTAATGCCTCACTAAGTACATCGGTGAGAGAAGGAGGGCGGGATCAAGTTCTGTATGCTATACATGGGGACTGGCCATCACGACATCAGAATCATGGCTCCGGGAGATGAGTGTGGTAGGAATATTAACAATATAATGGAATTATGATGATAAAACCACAAATAGAAGGGGAAAAGCCTATGAATACTTTTGTTATCAAACAAATTGTTTGCATAAGGTGCCAATTTAGGCCACTTTTGTATATCAATTAGGGATTCAAAATGGGGGGGGGGGGGGGGGGGGGGGTGGAAGGGGAAACATGTCTCTGTGTGGACAGCACTGTAATAGCAGACTACAAACATGCTTTTTGCATGTAGCATGTATATTAAAGGAACAAACAAAAGACTAATGCTCTTCACATGCCTTGGATGTTTACACAGTCGAAACAAGACAGACATATTAGCAGATTGCAATGCAGACTGAACAACTGCCAGCTAGGCACGATGCAGGGAAACATTAATAGTAGTCATGTGTTATATGTGAGTTGGGGATCAGGATTAAAGTAGCAGGACAGCCATTAATTCAAGCTATTTTCATTTCAATTCAACCCTGCATCCCAATTTATTTTAACTGCAAGTTCTTCAATCGATCAGGACTATTTTCTTGCTTCTTACATTTCATCTGCGTTATTATGAATCTACAAATCAACAAATCCGTATAATAATACATGACAAATTCATGGGCTCATAACAACAATTTGAAGCATTGCAGGCAAGAGAAGGGTTAAATATATTTTCTAACTACATTTGTATTTCAACCAAGAGATAGTAAGGACAGCAACAAAACACCTACTTTAATAAATTAATGCCCTTTGTATATATTCAGCTCAAGCCCTTATAGTTCTCAATAAAAAATATCATCTGCAGAAAGCCAGAAGGGCATTAACTCAATAGTTAACTCAATAGTTAACTCAATAGTTAACTCAATAGTTAACTCAATAATTAACTCAATAGTTAACTCAATAGTTAACTCAATAATTAACTCAATAGTTAACTCAATAGTTAACTCAATAATTAACTCAATAGTTAACTCAATAGTTAACTCAATAATTAACTCAATAGTTAACTCAATAATTAACTCAATAATTGGTGATACGTGTTACACCATCCTTAATCGCTCTGTCTACAACATGGCTATTTCTGACTTCAAACTTAAAGATTCATTTAAAATCAGAGCCAATACAGACACCACATATTCTGATAATGCCAGTGCTTGGAATGACTCATTACAGCTCAGACAGCAATGTTTATTTGCACAGCTGAATGAGACAGACAGACATATAATTACTAGAGCGAAGAGGGAAGACCTGAAAGGGAAGACCTATCACGATGATGCATCAAACTCGATCGTCAGGATTCTAAAGTACATCAAAGACGCATACGATCGATATTATTACATGCAGCTTATCATCAAGACCCTCTATAAAATATTTATCTGTCCTTTAATTGCAAATCTGAAAACACAATTTGTGTGTAATGTGTCTGCGTGTGCAAAATTAGGTTTTTAAAGATGTGTATTAATCAGAAATTATTATTTACATCTGGGACCGGCTTTGATCTAAGAATTCGATTTACAGGCAAAATACAGAATCATTTAATATAACAGTGGCTGTAAAATTCATAGATGCAACATAAATAAACCTTTTTTTCATCTCTTTGACCTTGGCATGAACCTAAAAAATACAAATCACATTAAAAAAAACTCTTAAATAGGGTTTTCCAAAATAGTTAACAATTAATTAATCTTACATTGGTTGGTGTGTGTGTTCATTTCGATGTGACATTAGAAAGTAAATTTTGCCTTTAAAAAATAAAGGTACTCCAGTATGGTATGTAGACTAGTGTTATCTGCTCTAGGAGGTTCCACGTCACTGTCTAATCATTTATTACGGCTCAGTGCTTTTAGGCTTTCCAGGAATTATTAATACTTTGAATCAAATCTGTCAGCCTAGAGAATTCCAGAACAAATTGAGTATGTATAATTTTGGTTATAATCTCGCAAGATCGTTCACTCGTAGTATATTAAAGCCTCCTTTCATTCAAGCCCTCATAAAGTATGGTATTGGCCTACTGCTGTGTAGTCAATGGAAATCTCATTAAATAGAAAGAACTAAAATCTTTAACAGACCATTTTGAAATAATTTATTAAAAAACAGGCTAGTGTATTGAGATTTTATATTCAGCATTTGTAAATTCCATAAAATTATGATAAGGTTGCGAGATGAAACCTTTGCAAGTCTGGACCACAAGTGAAAGTTTTAATTGTTTCTTCCATGCAAATGTTTGTGAGTTTACAACAGATACAAAAATATATGTACTATTAAGCAACATATGAAATGTGGAGATAAAATCTGGTTTTACAACATTAAATCATCTGTTTGGAGTCAGAAGGGTGTTAAATCTGTGTAAAATGATACAAGTTAATGCACTTCTGGCTCGAAACAGATGAATTACAGTTATTGACCAATTGATTGAAACATCTCATAAATAGTGTTGACAGCGATATACATGTACATGAAATGTGTGGTATTCACAGAAATGCCATCAGTATTCAGTTGAGGTAATAACTATGCATGCATATTTTCTATTGACGGGGAGAATTTTGAACGGTATGCATGATTGCCATAATCACTTAGCACTCGCAAATACATGTGAGCTCTTCATTGGATGCACCTCTATTGATTCTAAGCGTTTATTTTTTTCCTTTAATACCTTTGTCATTACCCATTACCAGGTAACTATGGACAATATGGCTCATTATTATCTTTCAGTGGGCATAAACTGCATGATTTTCAGTCCCCCAGGTTATCAACATCCTACAAGAATATTGTTATCCACTTGAACGATAATACCTCTTTAATCCTCATTAAAATGCATTTGGGGATGCTGTTTTTTTTCCCTGTGCACATTAAAGAAACCAATGTTTTTTTTTTTAAATGATGTTGATCTCCCTTAGATGTGGACTTGTTATAAAAAGAACTATTTTGCTATTTTTAGAAACAAAAGCTTAATTTCACTCTCTCCATGTTTCCATCCTCATCAATAGAATTATCATCTCCATCATTATCATCATCATCATCATCACCATTATCATCATCATCATCATCATCATCATCATCATCATCATCATCATCACCACCACCACCACCACCACCACCACCACCACCACCACCACCACCACCACCACCACCACCACCATCATATCATCATCATCATCATCCCAATCAACATCATCATCATCATCACACCATTATAACCACCACCACCATCATATCATCATCATCATCATCCCCATCAACATCATCATCATCATCATCACACCATTATAACCATCACCACCACCATCACCATCATCATCATCATCATCATCATCATCATCATCACCATTATCATCATCATCATTATTAGCATCATTAAATCACCATTAATCATAATTAATGCTCATCACTATATGTCAAAATTACAATCACCATAACCATGTATCATACAAACACTCATCATCTTCATCAGCATAGCCATCATCATCATCAACCAAATACCTGTCCCTCATCGTCTCTCATCATCTCCTCCTCCTCCTCCTCCTCCTCCTCATCCTATTCCACGTCCATCATCACACCAGATTTCCATCACATCTGCAACTAGATGAAAATCATCCTTACATCCCACGCAGCATGGAATATAACGTTTCTCTCAACTCACATCTCAAAACACGGAAGGTAAAAGACGACTTACAGATTGAAGACACATCCTCACAACATTGCATCCTCCTTGGACGCCCGACCGACCTCGAAAATGGCCGTCAGACTCATCTTCAATCTCGAAAACTTGCCACGCTCTATACCTCTCCAGTTCTCTACTCCGTCATCCCGAGCTGGGGAAATGATACTCACGAGCCCTGTGCATACCCACACTCACGGTAGTCCAAGTGCGTTCAACCTCCTTGCAAGATTCCCTACTATCCTCCACTCACCTCTCATTTCCTCTTACACACACACACTCTGTCTCTCTCCTGCCCTCTTACTCTCTGTTTCACACCAACTTTCATTCTCTCTCTCTCTCTCTCTCATTCACTCTTTCTTCATCTCTCTTTCTTCAACTGCTGTCCTAAATGCAATATCTCTCTCTCTCCATCTAACTCTCTCTCTCTCTCTCTCTCTATCTAATTCTCCCACCCCCCTCTCTCTCTCTCTCCATCTACAACTCTCCCCCTCTCTCTCTATCTCTATCTAACTCTTCCTCTCTCTCTCCATCTAACTCTCACCCTCTCTCTCTCTATTCATCTAACTCTCCCTCTCTCTCTCTCTCTCCCTCGGTCTCTCTCTCTCTCCTGCTGCTTTCCCAGCACACATACAATTCTCGTTTCACACCTGCTGTGTAAGAAGTCCTACGTGCTGCTGCAATGTAGCCATGCGCTCAATCTGTCGACATGCGTGGTCATGAAATATTAATGACGGACAGACTACGAGGGTTGTGCTTGCCAGTTATTCGTAGTTCTGCCTGGCCGGTCGATCCGCATACATGTGACACAGACAAGGGCCAGAGACATCATAAATAAATAATTGATCATGTCTAACCACAGGGTCAGATTGCATA